TAGTTAGGGATAGTATGTCTGAATATTTTGCATTTTTTTTATTAATATTCTGTTGTTACACTGCATTAATACTTGTTATTTTGGATGTAGGAAAATGATTTTTAATGTTTTTAAGTAAAGACTGGTTTAATAAAAATAATAATAACAGTAATAATTTGTTATACCTATTAACAACAAAATTTAAAATAATTTAAAATAACCATTTTTTTACGTAGTAGCAAAATATAAACAATAAATTAGATGTCAAAATTATTTATATTAGATCCTATTTAAAAATAATATAGTCTTTAAATTGTTTGTGGCAACGTTGGTTTATTAAATAATAATAATTACAGAATTATTTTGTAATAATTAACTCCCCTCCTAAACATTCTACATTCTACATTCTGAAACAAGATTGTATTTCTGATGTAAATTTAATTTTTACACTCACAAAACTCATTGTGAAAATAATATCGTTTAATAATCATCATTTAATATTAATAAACTGTTTTACGAAATTACAATTTTTGTGAAACTATGCAAAAATATCTTATTTTTACAAGTTTCTTATTAAAAATACTCTAATATATCAATATTTTTTTCCTTAAAGCCATGCAAAATCACTTGCCATAAGTCATTGAAATATTAGAGTACAGGTAGGTGTAGAAAACAAATGAATCTGACGATGAACCGTCACCAGTGTAAATCAATAATAATTCCTAATAAATATAGTAACTATCATAGCCCTAGTAAAACTTGACATGTTAAATAGTTTCCCTCTAAATATATTGGTACTATTATTTCCAGTACAAAAAAGTTTTTCCCTGATAATCATCAATACTAAATATGCAGATGCAGATATAAATATGATGGCATTTACAATTATTTTAATAATAATTACCGTTTATAATAAATAGATATAATTAATTAATTATACCTCGCTAATAAAGACTTTTCTAGATAAATAATATCTTTTTTATATTCAATCAATAAACTAGCCGAAGGATAAACAAGGAAAAGGCCGCTCATAAGCGGAAATTTAATTCCAATCAACGTTTCTGCAAGAATAACAATTAATTTTATCATACGTTGGTACTATCTTGATGATATTCGTATGCAGATTCAGAGATGCAGCAGGTTGTCTAGGCGGTGTTGTCAAAGTACCCTTTTCTTAGAAAACACAAAAAAAATAAAGAGTCCCATATACCTTTTTTCCCATATTTTATGATTATAAACAATAATTTATTTTCTGTAATAGATATAGTTTTATATAAATAAAGTTTATACCAGGGATGACGAACCTTTTGAGACGAGGGTCAAATATATTTTTTCATATTTTTTAGTACCGTAAAATGGGGTGAATAGAAACAGTTTCGTAGGCTATTAGTGATATACCGGTTGACAAAAATGTGGTATTATTTTCCCGAATATTTTAAAACATGGGTCTTTGTTTGTTCTTTGCTTATACATATAATTTGATTTTTGAAAAATATGCGTATAAATATTAAATAAAAATAACATTTGTGTTTCTATTCACCTGCTATTCGGGAGAATAGAAACACACATTGATGTTAAGGTTTTTATCTATTCTACTTTCAACAAGGTGATTAGAAACAGTAAATTATTACATATTTAAGTAGGTTTAACAATAATTAACAATACATATAATATAACAACTTACATGTACCAGCTTATGTATTACTTTAAAAATAAATATTTTATTTATAAAATTTTCGCGCCATACAAAATAGGTGATAAATCGATCTCACATTTATTGATCACCTGATTGACAGAAACAGTGCTGCCACAGATAAAAATATAGTTTTTACATTTTATTGTGTATTACCAATGATAGAAAAATTATATATGTCGACTCTTTTTACTTTGAATATTTTTAA